TTGGGGGGGGGGGGATTTGTTCACCTTTCTCAGTCTTGGTGGTTGTTAATGATAACCCTATCACACTGGAGTAAGATGAGTGAGTTCAGATTGTTGGTCTCTCTCAGCTAACAGGTGAAGTCCATTTGGAAATTTGTGTTTTCTTGATTTGTCTTTGGAGTATTTTTACTATATCGTGTTGTGGTCTCATTCTGACAATATATCGGCCAGAGCCTTTGTTATTATTTGGGTATGTATCTTTGTTGGAGTATGTCCCATGTCTCTCCTCGGTGTATTCGCTGTTGATTTAAGTTAGACCAAAATGTGTGCCAGAAGCTTTTCTGTTCTAATTTATTTGCTTCTGTACTGGACTTGATCATATTCATAAAGGGTATCCTGAAAGATACAAATTTTATAGTTGATCCAATAAAATCTCTGTTTCAGTTGAAATGTATTTACTTTTAAAAGAGCTTTCTAAGGAAAAATAATGTTCTATTCTATATATATATATATATATATGTGTAATGTACCTGAGTTCTTTTCTTTTTTGATGACAAGGGAGATTGCCACTCCTGTCTTTTCCTTCTGCCATCCATCGGTTTACACACGCTGCACCAATGTTGTTAGGTCCAATCTGTCGTGCTTTGTTCATTTATTTAAATTATACAACAACAACACAAAAGTCGTGAGACCACCAGCCAAAATGAAGCTTTCCTCACTGACAAATTTTGAGAACATGTCCTGAGCTTGTGAATCGCTCTAGTTACAAGGTGTAGAACGAGGTAAAAGGTGATGACGATGACGCCATGGCTCGGTTGTTTTTAAGAAATTCTTTTTTAGTGAAAGTCGAACCAATGTGCCCTACCATTACCAATCAGTTTCTGCAGAGTTTCTGAAAAGACTTCTGGGAAATCAGCCTTTTGCATCCTTTCATAAACAATTGGGGTGGGGGGGGGGGAGTGTTCAACTCAGGGGCTATACAACTGTTATCTCCGTAGACCTGACAATAGCGAGTTTCTCTCTCTATATCCATGTGAAAAGAGTTCTAGATCAGGTCAGTGACTTTTTGGGGAGGGTTTGCATTATTATTAAAATAAATTATTAATATTATGTTCAATATATATACAGTTCTGTCCCTTGCAGAGTGATTTGTAACATCAGGGGACTCCTGGAAACAAGGTCTCGGACGTCTTGAAAGTTTTTGTTTCTCTACTGTGTCAGAAGTCGGTGTCTGTTAAACCTATATTATTTTGTTAGACTCCCATGACGTACCATTTCTTTTCTGGGTTGTTTTTTTTTTTGTCGTAGTTTTTTTTTAAATTCCTCACAGTAAGTGACTTTGTGTTGTTTAAGAAAGATAATCTGTTGATGTATGTGGTGGAGGGGGGGGGGGGGGGGTCACAATTTGATTTTTGCGTGTGTGTGTGTTTTTATGCGCTACAGCAAAGGCTTCTTTTTTAGAGGGGAGGGTTTTTTGGGGGGGTTTTATTTTGGGGGGTGGGGGTTGTGTGTGATTGTTTGGTTTGGTTTTGCTTTTTTAAACTGGAGAATAATGTGAATGTCTTTCAAGCAATATATTATGCCATTTTCTTGTTGATGTGTGGAGACTCTCCATGGTTGCATATATTGATAGAGTATGTCTAGTTGAAGAACAAAGCTCAGGTCACCTCTGCTCGTTCTAAGCAGATTTAATCAGAGTTTCTGATAATTCATTATTAATCTCATCTCATGCTTTCTGACTTTTCCTGTATTTTAATGTTCTGAGCTTTTGGTTATTTTGTGTCGTCTGCATAAAAGATAATTTTCGAGAATGCTGATGCGATGCCGGTGTGAACGTTCATGTTGGTTTAGTGGACCGAGTGTTGTCGTCATGTTCACCGAAATGTTGGTTTATTTCGTTCACAACAGTTGCTCTTCAGAGCTGCCCTGTGAGACTGATGATTTCTTTCGTCACCAAAATGTATGAATACTTTGAGTACCCAACGTTTCGTTTACTCCCGTATCTTCAGATTAGGATTGGTTTCTTTATGTGAGGCAGCGTGGTGAAATCAGGCGCTCGCAAAACAATTAAATCAAAGAGACCAACATTTTTACTGGCCGTTGGGCAATTTTTTCTTTGAATTTTCTTTCTTTTTTTTTCTTTTTTTGGCTAGACACATTTTATTTTATGTCCTTTTAAAAACCTATTTCTGTGTAGATGTAACTAAAAAAAATGTTAATTAAGGGCAGGAAAAATGTAAATTTCCAGTGTCGAAGGATACTCAAGCTTCCGAAGTCACCAAACTTTGGCAGCCATTTTCTCGCTAATTTTACCTTTCTGACCAGACGACCCCCAAATCTTTCAATCACTTATGTCTTGACTTCTATTCAAGACATGTGGGTGTTTTTGTCGCCAAATGCAAGACAAATGAACAAGCTTTCGTATGATATGAATAACTCGATATGCCCAGAAATTTACGAGCGCCTGATTCCACCACGTCGCGACACATATCGTTCCAACTTAACTTATGACTGGGGCACGTTCTCTCCAGTCAATAATGGCTTTTTGAAAAACTCAATCCACTTTCCTAAACAATTGTAGAGTTCAGGACGTACTGAATGTGCCAGATGGATGGGTTATGGGGTGCAGCATTACAAAATCTTTCGCTCACATTTTGTTGGCTTCATGGGCTTTTAACGTATGCAGAAAGTCTCTGAATCTCTTTGAGCAAGCAATTAAAATGCTGCACCAAAGAAAATGTCATCTTGTACTATCAGTGATCTGGGAAAAGAAAAAAGGAAAACAGACTGGTTAAATGTTCCTTTTATCGGAGTTCCTGGTGCCAGTTTTGTCCAACTCTTCATTGCATTTCCCCCTTTTCTCTTATTTCGTACAGTTTGTAAGATAGAAATCGTCGTGGGCAATTCAGCACAGAATGGATTTTGCCAAAAAGTTGTTATTTATATTAAAGGTTATTTATCTTGGAAGAAGCTGTGTGTTTCTTTGAAGGAAGATGACCCTTGAGATCTATGAGTGGTGAGGAACTGTTTGCTTTAAACTGCAGGACTGTTTCCTGGAAGTATGGAGAGGTGTCAGCAGATTTTCGCCACAGCACTTTCATGAATAAGATTTTAAATGAGGTCAGATATGGTGCCATTTTTATATATGTACATTTCTTGAATTTGTTTTAAGATGACATATTATGAAAAGGGTTACAAATCAAACTTATCAGTTTATTGGCACAATGCAAAGAACAAATCTGAACAAAGTTTTGCAAATAGACACACTCTAGCTGGTTGAACAGGACAGCTCCCTGTTTTTTTTCTTATCATTTGTTAACAGGTATTTCCTCTCTCCTTTTCTTTGTGTAATTACTCCCTAGTAACACCTCTAATCTTCGGCACATGACCTAATTGTGCTGCAAGTGCTACAAAACTCTTACTGAAACTAAAAGTAAACCACTCAGGCTTCTGCTGTCTTTGTCATGCCTACTCACTTTAAACCTCTCCCTGGCCTTACTGAGTCACAACATTTTGTACAGGTTTTTAAAATATTTCTTTGGTTAGAATAAAGAAAGGTCTTAACATACCGCAATACATAATGAAATTGGCAGGATACAGAAACCTTTTCGTTTCGTATGAACTTCGCAGTGTGTGCGTTGTGAATACTTACGTGTTAGAAAAAGTTCAAGACCTGGAACTGTATGGACTAGACCACTATGTGTGTGGCTAGAATGTCCAATGGCAGAGGTGTAAGTTTATGAAAACGAGGGGGGGGGCGGGGGGGGGGGGGTGTGGGATAAACAACATGAGTTTCTTTAAACATCGAGGACTACTACCTTTCTTTCACACGTTCAGTTGGACTATTATCATTCTTTCAGTAGGCTTCAGCCGCCACCCGGGCTAAATTCCAAATTGATTCCTCCCAAACTGAAAATACTGTTGCCAGTATTAAAGGATACAGAGTACCTTTAAAA